CGTTTTTCCTCAAAAAACCACATCAGTGCGCATGCGCTGGCAGACAGAAAAAAAAAGCAGATCCGTGGACGGACGTAAAACTGGGAAAAACAGTGCAATCATCACTTGTTTATGTCTCTAACTACGTTGCTTGCTGTTTTATATCTTAGGGTTAGGGTCAGGGTTAGGGTTAGGGCTAATTGTAATTTATAGTCTATATTCATGAATGGTGCGTCGCATGCGCATACGACAAAAAAATGTCCAAAACGTACGAAATTACGGTGCATAACTTTTCGTACGATTTCATACAATGAGAATAGGTTGATATACTTGAAATAATTAAAGATTGGGAAAGGCCATCTAGAGGCCACTAAAAGAATGTAGAAGCAAGAAACATAAAGAAAGTGTGAATAAAGTGTTTTTCCAAGGGACCTTATTTGATTCATATGTAAAATATATATACATTTTGGGGTTGTCTACTTCGGTAGTGAAAGTAATAAGCCTTAGTGCTTGCTACACAGAGCAACGGTGTCCCCACAAACCGGACGTAGGGGTTTGTCCTGTAACAACCACTTTGAGCATCGGTATGTCTTTGATCCCCTGCCTTCCCTGCTGTTAGTAGTAGGAGGGTCTGCTGGCAGTCTGCCCCAGGGAACCTTTAGTTACAACAGGTAGCATGTTAATGTGTTTGTGAATTGGTGAATGAATGCATGTAGTGTGAAGAACTTTGGGGTCCTAGACTGAACAAAGCACTATAGAAGTACAGACCATTTACCACAATCTGTACTGTGAATGTATGTCTTTTTGGGTTTCCATCTCATACAAGCAGAAATTTTCTGTATTTGAAAAAATCAGCCACATAGATCCAGCAAGGAGACATTAAAATCATTCTTTTTAAAAAGCAGAGAAGATTATCAGCTAGAACATTTAGATGTGTTACCCATGTATAAACAGTGCTTTACATTTGCTGACAGAGGATCAAGCACAGAACAGGGTGTCTACACACTGGCGGTTTTATCTGCTGGCTCAACAGTAACAAATGGAACAGCCAAGACATACCCAGGAGGAGTAGCAGCACATAATGTAAATTAGCTTATGTCAGGTATAATCACAATGTCCTAAGCCAAAACAGAGTAAACACACTTTTGGGATATGCCTACAAAGCAACAACACAGAGTGTATTAATTACAGTATGTTTTGATACATTTGGATTACAATTTATTGAAACATTTTGCTGAAGAACTTTAGCACTGACAAAATCTACTGATTATCAAGGTAGAACCTGAATCAGTAAAGTAGTTGTTTTTTAATTCAGCACAAGATATTCATCTCGTCTACAAAACATGTTCACACTCTAAACAGTCTAGCACAGTGAGTGTAATTTCCAGGTTCCTCTGAAGCTGTAAATGCTCTGGGGCATTACCTTTTTATATTATTGCTGAAAGAAGTGCAGGGTGGTGTTGATCAAGTCCTTTGGATGTGCATGCTGCTGAGCAACAGCTTTTAATCGAAAAAGGCTGCTAAGTCATAATGCATGAAAATATGTAAAAGAAATATTTACTTAGGTTGTTACTGGAGGGATATTTGTTGACAAATAAATTATTAGGAAGTTTAATTATGACTGCAAGACATACCTGCACTTGTTACACACTTTAGTTAGCTTAGAGTGTTTCAATAGCTATTAGACACACAGGATTCAAGTGCAACACCCGCTTTTCAGAAATCCTCTCGAAGCTTTAGATTATTTAGATAATCTCAGTGTGTAGCCTACTTGTGCGTTTGCGCATGTGTCTTTGTGTCCAGTCTAAGTGTCCTCGCTCGTACGTGAGACTGTCTCCCAAAGTAGCACGTGCCACACTGAATCCCAGCAGCAGCTATTCTCTGCCGCATGCGATAAGCATCAAGGAAATACACTCAGAGACAAACACAGACAGACAAAAAAACATAACAGATGTATTTCATTTTGACATTTTACATCTAAATACTATGAAAATATTTGATATATGCCATATAAGAATGGGAACATGAAATAAATTCATAACTGTGTTCGGTTTAATAGATTAATTAATTATCATTTAATCCGGTTGATATTTACCATGATATGGAAATAATTTGAATACAACAATACTAAACTCTACCAACTGTGCGAGTTTGAAAATCATGAATGCAAACAAGTTAAGATTTGGTTTTGCAGAGACAGAGCAATGGGAAAATGGGTAGCCTAATGATAAAGACAATCAGAGAAACTTTTTTTATGATCAAAATCCACCTGTACAATGAATATTGTGTAGGTCACATCAAACCAGAGTATGCTGTTAGAAGGTCTTAAGGATTAACCAGTGATCAATAACCAGGAAAAAGTGGCTGCAAGCCCTGATCCTAATTAGAGCAGGGTTAGAGCAGATTAGCTTGAACCTGAGTCCCTGACAACAGAACAGCTTTTCTCCAACAACAACTCCCTTTCAGCGAGGCTTCCTAGGTGCACCATAAGCATAATTCATTGATCAAATAGTAAAAACACACATCAAAATGTATATAAAACTCCCAGTGTGCTGTCTACGCTAATGGTATATCTTAAGGAATGTCAAATGGATCTAAAAAGCATTAAATATGCGCTGTAGAAATAGGTCAGGCCAGGCTTATAAATGAGCCTGTGGGACAACATAAAGGGACAATGCCACTTTGAAAATTAGCATAGCCCTGGTTCCAACACTGGAGATTAGCTGCAAAACTTTGTCACTGCAGCCAGTATCCAGTTCAGGTAGTATAAGGTTGGGAGGGGACCATCAGGAGATTAGCGTGTGCCTTTCTAGTCCTGAAAGTGTAAATGTGGGTGTGTGAGTAATGCATAAAGGCATACTCACATACGCTGGTCTTCATTCCCAAGTTGTGAATTGTGAGCTTCTCTACATATCAAGCTCTGTTATATTTCAAATTCTTTTAGAACAGAAAATAAAACATTTAATATAAACGTGCCCTATTAATGTAAAATAGAGCTTCTGGAATTTTTGAAACATACTAATATATTTAGTACTAGTGTATTTACTGGTATATTTAGTATTAGAGGGGGTGAACTTATGTCTTTTGTTTTTCCTTTTGGGTTGTTCTCTATGAGTATATGTATGTAATTTACTTGTTTTTATTGTAATTGAAACATTAAGAACCAATAAAGAGGGTCCATGGTAATATATTTAGTATTTAAGAGTATCGAAAAATTTCTTCGCCCTTGAGGAATAATGATATTATAGATAATTCTTTCTTTCAAGGTGCATTAGGCTCTTAGCTTTAACCTAACATTGTTAAAATGTGCAATTATACCTAAAAGGTGTTTCTATGAATCGAAACGCAGTCCAAATATATAGGAAAGATGTAAGGATATTCAAAGTAACCAGAATCTTACAGTTTTGGGGAAACTTGAGTCTGCTTACATAAAATTCCTTATCTATAGAAAACAATAAATCCTTAGTAATTTATCCCAGGACAGCTGAAGGACTTGGTGGCCCTCTAGTTAGAAAGCAGAGCATTTGTGACAGAAAATAATACCAGAATATCGGTCAAACACAGGCTCCAATCTCAGACTGACTCCTGATCCCTGAGCAATACCCATAACTCAACAATTCTCCTTGGATGCTACAAGTTGATCGCTGCTTCCGACCCAAATAGATAGTACCTGAGTTGAATAATTAACAATGCTTTTATATATTTAGTATCTTTAACACAAGTATTTATCTTAATTTCTGTAGTTGAACCTAATGACTTCTTACTGTTTGATCAAGATCCCCAGGTTGGGGTTAAAACCACAACTTTGGGAATTAATGCCCAATAGGATGGATTAATTTGGTTTTGATGTACAAATGCAACCACAAGTAATGGTGATTATAGTATCGCTATTTTTTCCCATGATCAAGAAAAAAAAGAAAAACCTTCATAGCAACATGTTAAGAGAGGAATATTCTCTGGAACATTAGTGTGCCAAAATTTTTTGCTAATGAGGTGACAGTACAGATGTGGCTTCAGATCATCAAATACTTAAGGTAAACCACATGAACCCATTCAATCAGTTTTTAATAACTAAGAAATATCTTTTAAAGCCAAAAAACAGAACAATTTATGCAAGATAAGATTGTTTAAATGTTATAAAATTGAATGTTGTGACAGTCAAACAGTTTGTGATATGAAAGTACAGCCTGTGCAGTAAAAGATATACCGCTTCGCCAAACTGGCAGAGTAAGCTGTGTTTTCCTATAGAGGTACTCACATGTGCTGTCTAACAGTTTGGCCTCACTATGGAATTGTGTTAAATTCATGGAGGCTCAACCAGCTTTATCTGCTTTGAGCTGACACTTCTGCCAGTCTGCATACGAAACGAAAAGTCATACATGAAGGATGAACGACTGTTTCAGTCATATTGTTTTCCTGATGCTTGTAAAGACACTCCCCCCTGTTGATACCAAACATTCACTATAGGCCTCAAAATGGAATATTGTCAGATCTATTCAGCAGTTCTTTCACAGATCTATCAATCCTAACAAACACATCAAGGCTTTCCTTATTAATATAAGGGGCTGCTGTATACCTGCATACCCCCCATTCTTTGAGCAGACCTATTAATTAGAATAAACAAAAAATAAATAAATAAACAGCCCTCTTGGAGAAAGAGCTTTATTATATCTTTCTAATGCACATAACCTTCCAATAACCTTTCAGTTCTATTTATAGGTGAGGGTTTCTAACCCTTGGTGCAAACCATGACAGGCATTTAGACAGGCATATAGAATATGAAACTATAAAAAATATTAAACAAAAAACAATATACTTTATAATGCTTCTTGGTTGTAAAATTAGAGATAAACCCTCCTTTTTGGTGCCAATGTACCAGTAAAATGCTTTATACAAGACTGTACAATGTTCATCAGAGAAAGTATAATTCTAAAAAAGCTGTTTGCTTCCCTCTACTGTTCATTTTTTACATGCAGGGCTATGGTCCACTGAAGCAGGAGAGAAAATGAAAGCCCACCAAATCAGGATAAAACATTGAAGAATTTTAATAATAATGCTTTGTGTAAATACATGAGAGGTTGTAACATCAAGAAAAAGAGCTGTGCGTTTAGTTTGTAGACAATAAAGCCTTTTTTAAAATGTAATGTTCTTTTTATTATTGCTTTTGGTTTTAAAAAAAAGAATCCTCACTGTTTTATGACATATACATGATTTAGAAAATTGTAAAATATAAAAATTCACCTATTGTCCTTTGAATACATTATGCATGTAACCAGATGACTTCAGACATCACATAAAAACAAATGAACAGTCAGAAGTCTATTATTCTGCTTTACCCTCTACTCTTTTAAGTAAACTAAACACTTGACTAAAACTCTGTAACATTGCTTCATTTGCACTTGAGGTTCACAGCAAAAATTTGGTCAAAATTGAATAAACAGTTTGAAAAGGCACAAGAGTATGTCTGTACATCTCTTCATTAGATAGTGAAGGAACAGAGGAATACTGTCCAATGGCAAATAAATATCATCCAAAGATCTAATCTGAATATGGAATATTATTTAATGCATAGCACATTCCCTTTCAGAGTGAACTTAGATTTTTTTCAGCTTTGTTTTAAGACGGGAATGTTGGTTTGAAACTTCCACTCTGATCTAATTCCAATTAGTAATCAAGATCTACAATTATTATGAAATCAATAACACTATAAAAAGAAAGAGTTTGGGGCATTTTTCTGTTTGATAAAGTTGGATGAACTCCAGCAGGTTTGGATTTTATGATAAAGTAGAAGACACCGCCAACTTTGATCAAGAAAATCAAGCTATTATTTTTACAACTCCTCTGACTCATGTGGTGCGAGAGCTGGAGGCAACGTGGTTCCACATGGACCCTGGAAATGGTACCTGGTTCCCATTAAACAAAGAAGAAAAGAAAACACAAATGTTAGAAACCTGAGGACCATTGATGATATTTCTCCATATTTTGGGCCTCTTTTAAAGTTAGCAACACAATGCAGAAAATGCTTTTTAAAAAATCTTTTAATAATTCATTTATTTAATTAACTCACGTGAAATATTCAGTTTTTGGTGTTGTATTCATGTTAAATTCTGCCACAGGAACACCCCTGGAAGCAACCCGGGGACCAAACATGGCTGCAGGGTAAACAATGGATGATGTCCCCACCTGCATGCAAACAACAGGGAGCAATGACCCCCGTGTCAATTTCAGATTTCCCAAAAATTTAAATTCAGGTTTAGCTCTAGAAAAACAGTTCTAAAATAAATTTTTACTGAACAGAAATGCATGTCATTTTAATTAGATTACAGAGAACTTACCACCAGGCAGAGATCACAGATTTCCATTTCCTTTTCTACCTTGGTCAGAATATGCGAGTCCAGAGTTTCTCCAAAGAAGACGACGTTGGGCCTAAGAAGACCATGGCAGTCTCTCTCCTCGCATCTTTATAGGATGATAACAGAACTTTGAACAGATTGAATTATAAGAAAAAAAGGTCGCACTATTGGTAATAGTGTACTAAAAAATATAATCTAAGGGTGAAGACAGCTGAGAAACCAAAACTCATTCACATTTAGGGCTAACTATACAACCAAAGCAGCATTTAACCCTTCAAAGCACACCATTGCCCCCTAGTGGACAAGTTCAATTAGTTATCTCTCAGTTTAAAGTGGGACCCCAAAAACAACTTATTTTTGTAAACATACTGTATAAACATGGGCTAGGGGGGCATTTAAATGCTAGTTGGGATTTTAAAAAATGTTTTTATTTAAATTTGTTTCATTGTGCAGTATTTTTCAGACTTTTGTAATGTGTCCTGTCAGCAATAGAACATCCTTAGTGCAAAGGATATGCAATCTCCTTGAATAATGAGATGGAAAAATAGACAGAAACTAAATGTAATAAAAAAGAGAGAGAATAAAGAAAGACAGGTGAGGAGGAGGTGAAGCAAAGATATCCACAGAGAACGAGGCTATGCTTTTACATCGGGGTGAGTTACACCTTATTAGTTTAGGGCTTTTTGTAATAGCCAACATCTCAGACTCTTTAGCAAGTTTATCTCATTGTCCTTACGGTCGTCTTATTATAGACTACTCTGTACAGAGTGATACAGTGAAAATGACACATAGTAACAAATGTAGCAAAGCAAAGGTGCAAACTAAAAAAAAAGAGGACTGTTAGAGAATGAAGTTTGTTTACCGGCAGCCTGTAACATGTCTTTTACTTTATTGTGTTTACTGTGTTATAGGTACAATGCATATGCATTTGATCCACTGTTTACTATAATCACAAGTAATAAGTGACATTTAGCTAATATAATAATAAAAAAGGCAATAGCTGAAAATAGAATTTAAAATAGGCAGAAACATAAAACAAAGTCTCACATTAACCTTTCTGTGGTCAAATCTGTCAGGCTTAATGATACACGTAAAAATCTGATTGCTTCAAGGTTTTAACACATCCTCCACATGAACATTTGAACAAAAATGATGACCACTCTGAGACTATGCTTCCCAAATGAAGAGTGTTAACAGATATTGTTGTCTTTAAAGATGTTTTGAGTTCATCTGAGAGCATTCTGGTCAAATTAGACAGTGAACTCAAAAAGGGAGCAGGGAAGGAGCGTCAGAGGAATGAGCAAAAAGAATAATTCTGAAGCTATTCTATAAGTGCTTTTCTACAACATCTGATATACAAATAATTGTATTTTTGTGTTTCTATTTGTTTTATATTACAGCAACATTTTAACCAACTTAAAGGTTTGGAACTTAATTTTTTTTTCTGTGGAAATGTACAAATCAAAGAGATTAGAAAAATTCAACCACTCTTTATATAAATAGGTTTAAAAAAAACAACAAAAAAAGAAAAGTTCAGGATTTTTTTTGTGTCCAGTGTTATTGATAAGATTTGTAGATAATTCCTACCTTGGCAGTTTATCTACAGGAATTTGTGTTTCAGGAACATCTGCGCCAGGTGCTCTGGAAATAAGCAAATTGTGCAAAGTCGAACAGAAAGGATCAGACTACAAATTCTGTAGAATGCATGTGATATATTTACATTTATGTAATATAAGTAGGGCTGCAATTAACGATTATTTTAAAAATCGATGAATCGGCCAATTATTTTTTCGATTAATCGATGAATCGGACAAAAAAATATTTTTTATATTAACCTCTTTATTCCAAAATAAACATTTTAGACAGAAGAAACAAGCACACAAGTACAGGTTGCTCATTAACTGTACTGGTGCAATATGAAAAATAAATGTTTGTGTTAAAACTACGCAAACTTACATGAGAAATGTAGCTGTACATCCACAAAATATAGGGTACTTTGTTTCATAAAGCGCAAAAAAGACATTTTTGTTTTTAAAAGCCCCTAAGGGGTTCAAACAATAGGTCCCCCCATTTCAACAAATGAGGTTTTTTTAGACTAGAAGAGTTCTGCCTTTTAAGACAGGAAAGTATAGCAGTTAAAGTTGCTACTTGAGAAAATACTGAACCATAGAGATAAAAATAGCCCTGTGATTCAAATTATAAATTGTATTTGGAATAAAAATGAGAGAACTAGGGGTGCTAAAAAACACATCCTCCAAAGACAGATATTTACATGGGAATGTGGCATATAATTAATTGTCATATTACTAATCTTGCTGGATTTTATTCTGCTTTACTTCCATAAATTGCAGGATCTTCTTTACTTTATCTTTGCCAGAAGATTTAAACTTTAAAAGCCTTGCCCTCAGAATTTGCAAGTTAATTTATTTATAAAGAAAATATAAACGCTGCTTAAGCTAATTCAAATGAAATTAAAAGTAAAATAAGTAGCCAACCTTATCACTGTCTGTAACCTACTAACAAGGTAAGGAAAGCATCAGATGAGCTACCTGAGAAACTAACGTTACGTTTCCCCACTTTAAAACCAAACAAACATGGTGGTTCCGTGCCATGTTAATTTGTTTTTACAAAAGTTGCATGTTACGACCTTTTTCACTTTACAAAGCGCAGGCTATTTTAATTATTGTGATCAATTTGCGCCGTCAATCCCCACGCATGCGCGCTACATTTGCAGTCTGGACGCTGAGGGTAAACATCCTGCGGCTCTGACTAAAGCGCTGAGAGGGAGAACGGGGTTGGGATGGGGGAGGCACCCCACGGCAGAGTAGGAACAATACATGCTTTCACATGAGTCTCCAAAAGCCGCCAGTGACACCGTAAAAAGTCGCCAGATTTGTCGCTAGTCGCTTTTTTGAAAAATATTCGCTGGAGGGGTCTGAAAAGTCGCTGAGTTGGCAACACTGCACCTGCGGCGCTGACTCGCTCTGCCGTATTTTTTTTTCTTCCCCCGTTTCAGTCAAGTGGATGTGATGACGGCGGCGGCGGATGACGCATTAATCGCGCGACACAACTAATCGATTATGAAATTCGTTGCCAACGCTTTTAAAAGTCGATTTTATCGATTTTATCAATTCGTTGTAGCAGCCCTAAATATAAGTATATAAACATTTATATATATACTTACCCTTTCCCCTTTAGGGCGGCACATATGGGGCTTTGCTTGTTCACAGTCACTTGTCCACAACTCATACAGCGAGTCTCCAGCAGACTGCCTATAACACAAAGTCCTGTTATGCTTACAGTGCCTTTCCAATAATTTCCATTCATTTTCTAAGGCATAACCCAGACCCATTACCAACACATATCCATACCTAACCCAAACTCAAGTAGTCCCCAACCCAAGAAGAAAACTTCTCTGTCAGGCAGCAGCTCCATCACTTTAACATGAAGGGTAGAGCGGCTCTCACCTAAAGAAGCCGCCTAAAGCAACAGGAACAGCTTTAGATCGAACAGAACGTTAGATCGACCTCAAGGGTTTGTTCCCCATCTTTGCTAAATTAAGTTATAATTAAGACAGGACCAATGGGTATTGTTAAGAGGTTGAGGCTGTGAAACAATGGACCAGCTCTACACCCTCTACAGGGCATATCTGAGATTGATCAACCGGTCCACACATGCATTGTGGACCTGGAGAAAACATTAAACCATGTCCCTCGTGGTGCCCTGTGGGAGGTGCTCCAAGAGTATGGAGTCGAGAGAAATTTACTAGGGGCTATCTGGTCTCTGTAGAAGAGGAGCAGGAGATTGGAATCAGCTCTTCCAAGTCCAAGGCAGGGGTTCTTGAAAGGAATAAGGTATCTTGTCTCCTTCAAGTATGAGGAGAATTCCTTCCTCATGTGTAGGAGTTCAAGAATCTTGGGGTCCTGATCACGAGTGAGGTGAGAATAGAGCAGGAGACTGATAAATAGATTTGTGAGACTGTCAATATAATGTGAACACTGCACCGGTCTGTGTAGATAAGAGCGCTCAGAGAAAAAGCAAAGCTCTTGAATTGCTGGCTAATTCCCATCTATGCCTAGGTCATGAAATCTGGATAATGACAGAAAGAACAAGTTCTCCGATACAAGCTCAGGGAGAGGCTCAGGGCAGAGGCACTTCTAAACATCAAGGAGTCAGCTGAGGTGGCTCAGACATATTTTTCAGTTGCCCCCTGGAACGCCTCTCTGGGACTTCAAGGCACGTCCCAATGGGAGGAAGCCCAGGACACACTGGAGGGACTATAGTCCCTATTCTATTGCCATCCAAAACATTGGGCTTTTGAAAGCCAGGCTAGCATTTCCATACACATTTACATGGGTGAAATCACTTTCCAGGGGTTTTACTTTACTGGAGCTTTGGTCCTTCTCTAGACTCGATGCTTTCTGGGCTTTTGAAGGGTGGCATTGGGTACGGCCACTGTGCTTTATCCCACCAGCGGTGGAAGTAAACGATGAAGTTAAGAGTAAGACTGTTGTTGTTCAAGCCTTAAAGGGGAATTTCGTTTTTTTTTTTATATTTGGCCCTTGATTTTAAGTTATTACATCATGTTCCACTCACCCATATAACTTTTGTGTCATTTGAAACTGTTCTGATGATATTCCACTCAAAGTATGTGCCTTGAAGTCGTTTGCCCATAGGAAGACGTTACTTGGATATAACCCAACGGAATATCTTCGGAACAGCTCAAAATGACACAAAACTCATATGGGTGAGTAAAAGATGAAGTAATAATGTAAAATCAAGGGCCAAATGTAAAAAAACGGCGTTCCCCTTTAAGCTTCTCACAAAAAAACTTTTGAAAATGTTTTAGAGCAACAAAGTACACCTCAAAACTTTATCTGTATAGTCAGTGGATCAAGATTATTATTGTACTTTTGAATATGTTTTTAGAGTGACAGAGTCACTCTGATGGTCCAGGCTGGCTGCTAGGCTAGCCAAGCTAACCCGGTGGTAGAAGCAGTGGGAATCCCAAGAGAAAGCCAGGGTCTCAGGACTTTCCTGCTCTCTGTATTTGTCAGTAGTGACTGAAAGAGAACATAAAGTGATAATGGAGTAAAAACTGGGGTGCCAGAATATAACATGTAATAATTGTGACTAGAAAGTTTTGACATTGTAAGGTAATGTAGGTATTAATTCTAAAGAGTTTCTCCATCCTTAAAAAATATATTTAGAGCAATAGAGTAATGATCTGATGGAGGACTTTTACTTTTCCTTGTAGAAAAAGAAAATATACATTCTCTTTCAACTGCCTTTTCATGTTAACCTAATTTAGCAGAGGGAAACCATTTCTATACATGTATAAATACACATTTGTTTATTTTTCATGGTTCTATGCTGACACAGCTGCAGAGGGGAGATTATGAATTGGCTTGTAGGGTTCCTTCCTTCATGGAATCCATTGCCTAGAGTTTCTATTTAATATAAATATATGTCTTGGAGAACATGTGGTCAAAGCTTAATAAATAACATTTTGACAAAAATAATGTTTTCTCTTTGTGCTTTAGAAATCAAGAGATTTATGGATTATTATTATAATAAAAAAACAGTGTAAATTATTTTTTAAGAGTTATTTTAAATGAAGTAATTAATACAGGTTGATTTTAAAGTCAAATGAAAATTTTAAGGTATTTTCTTATAGAAGGGTTGGCAAACAGAGAACCATTGTATGTTCTTATTATCCTATTAGCACCACCCGCAGGACAGTAGGTGCAGTGCGGTTTCTCTCAGGATTATTGTTACTGGACTTTCAGAGTAATGGAAGTCACACAGATGAATTACCCAGGATTCCTATTACCTGGGTAACACTAATCCTGGGGATTTAAATCCCAGAGCTTTCAGTGGAAAAGGGGCTTATGTCACTCTTCTGGCCTGGGAGCGCCTCTGGCTCCACCCAGCACAGCTAAAGGAGGTGTCTGTGGAAAAGGAAGTCTGGGAGTCTCTGCTGAGACTGTGGCGCCTGTGAGCCATTCCCAGTGGAAACTGCATGTCCACTCAGAGATATCATACTTGGTGGTAAAGAAGAGTTTATGACAGCCTCTGACAAATAAAAATCAGCAGAAAGATGATAACATTAAAGCAAACAGATCTTTGGTATAAGAAGTTTCAGGATCTGTAGACATCTAGATCAAGAATCGGAGGTGAAACAACGTGAATCAGTAAATTTCAATTTAATACTGGTTTCCCATTAGCCTCATTGTCTATAACACAGCTAGTCCATCAATTAGGTGCGCCTCCCATAAGTTTAAAGGAATAGTACACCCAAAACATGATTAGCCTTCATTTTCTACTCACCCCCATGCTGAACAACACTCTGGAGTACTTTTTTGATATCTCAAATGCATCTGGAGATCTGGGAGGCTTCTTGCTGTCTGCTGACATTCAAATAATGGAGGTCTATGGTGACCGAGACAGAAAGGTCCATAAAAGCCCACAAAAAACGTGTCAATATTCCTCCATACTGCTCGTCCAATGTATTCCAAGATTCCTGAGTGGGTAGCATCCAGAATTTACTCGAAATGAAGTCATTTAGAATGTTTTTAGAGCATAAACAGTAGTGTATAGGATTTCCTGAAAGCGCGCACATGCGCGCTCACGACGCTACGGAAGCCGGCAGACCAAGCCAGATGAAAGTGCGCATTCAGCGTCTGCTCTGCCAATAACGCAAGCGTAGAAGAAGAAATGTGCTGTTTACCTGTGCAAAGAAAGAAACAACGAAAGAAAAATGTCTGAGGACTTCAGTGTTGAGGAAGAGCATGAGTTCTTTGCCGAGCTGAATGCGCTGGTTTGGTCTGCCGGCTTCCGTAGCGTCGTGAGCGCGCATGTGCGCGCTTTCAGGAAATCCTATACACTACTGTTTATGCTCTAAAAACATTCTAAATGACTTCTTTTCGAGTAAATTCTGGATGCTACCCACTCAGGACACTTGGAATACATTGGACGAGCAGTATGGAGGAATATTGAAACGTTTTTTGTGGATTTCTATGGACCTTTCTGTCTCGGGCACCATAGACCTCCGTTATTTGAATGTCAGCAGACAGCAAGAAGCCTCCCAGATCTCCAGATGCATTTGAGATATCAAAAAAGTACTCCAGAGTGTTCAGCATGGGGGTGAGTAGAAAATGAAGGCTAATCATGTTTTGGGTGTACTATTCCTTTAAGGTTTCCTAACCTGTGTTGTTATTTTTTTTTTAAATGACCATGATATTAGGCATCAATAATCTTAGTGGTAATTGATTTCTGGCAAATCATTCTTTAAACATTATTTTATCAAAAATGATGGTTTATCCGCCTCTTTGAGGTAGTTTTGAAGTAGTTACTCTACAGTTTTAAAACTCATTTAACCTCATTTCAAATTCTTGAGGAAAAACTTTGTTTTTTTAAACATGGGATCCATACTGAAGGGTATGCATGAGGCAAACTTATTTAGTATTGATTTACAAGTTTTGAACTATTTTAAAACATCTCTTCATATGTGTCAGTTGAGTTTAACATTTAACAAAGCATAGAGCAAATTCTTTCTTGGATTTTTGTGTACTGTGGCTTAGAAGTTGTTGTTAATGGGCTCCATAATAGTGCAGAGATTTCTCTTTGATGAAGATCCTGCTTGAAATCACTCCTCATCCGTTGTCCTTACATGCAGCTGTTTGGGCATGTGTTCAGGGGAAAAAGACCTGACAGACCAAAAGTCCCAAGTGCACAACACAATTATGGTAACTTTTTTCACCAAGCAAACAGAAAATGGGTTATTTCAGTGGATATATCCATGTTATTCATTCCTTAAACTTGTTATTTAAATAGAAGTGACAGGCTTTGATTTCCTTTCCAAATGTTCTTCAAATAAATGACCAATTATTGTGATCAGGTGCTTCCACTCATCAAATCCAAAACAGCAAAGGGATCAACATACAACAGAAAGATTCAAAACCAAATTTTGTCTTGCTCATTCAAAATGTGCACAAATGATCTCAAGAATTGCCCACCAGTTCCTTACAGATGTCATTACTATAGAATTCTCACTAACACTCACCGTGTATCTTGAGCACATGTTTTGACCCTGCCTGTCGGTGCAAATCGTCTTGGCACTGGGTAATAACTACCACAGAGCGTCCCTGCTTCTTCAGACGAGCTTCGCACTCCGCTATGGCCAAATGGACGGCGCTGGGTTTCTTGTCCAAAACAAGCTCCCGTCTGTAATGGTAAAACTCCCAAACCCGAGACGGGTTACGAGAAAAAGCCTCCGGAGAAGCAAGGTCCTGGAAGGTTAAATCCACACGGGCTAGTTTAGAACGTACAATCACGCATGAACCAATGAACATGTACGAACAGCTTGTTTGGGAATTTACCTGAGAATGCCACTTTCTCCACTTCTCATGTTTTCCCCTGAAAGTCGGTACTCCACTCTCTGCGCTCACACCCGCACCGGTAATGATCGCTATATTCTTAGCTTTGGCAAAGGCCTTTCGGAATTCAGACATGTCTGAGAGTCAAATAAAAACTTATTAATAATCATTCGATTGTGATATGAACACAAAAGTGTTTTGATCATAATTTACAATGGAACAAAAAAAAATAAAATCTTTATCTTCTTTAAAAGTGAGTACTGCAGAAACTCAATTAGCATTTCCTGGATGCTACAACACTTCAGCAGAACACATCCAATGCTCGTTTTCCATACATTCATGCTTCAAAACCATATAAGATGTATTTCACTGAAAGAACTGTTTAGAAAACAACAGATGTCAGCAGAAAGACCACTGTGTTTATTAAGGTTAAATTTAAATTTCTGGCGCTTCAAATTTTTTTGATAGATGGTGTGTAACTATGTCCTATGTATTATCTACGTTTGCAGAAAAGACTATGCTTTTGAAATGATGATGTAAGAGTTTGTTTTTCTTAACTAGAGATGCATCCATTGTTACAAATGCTCAGGTATTCACTAAAGAAATTTTACTTTTTTAGTTGGGATCTCCCTGTTCTGTATTAATATCAGAAATCAGTTAGAAAACCGACAAAAATCAAATACTACAATATTTAGCAAGCATCTAAAATTCATATTAGCAATCTGAAAACCTCTGCTTCCCTTAAAGTTGATCTAACCCACGTATCATTAATAATAAATGGCTCATTTCATTCCATATGAGTAATTAAAGTATGCATGATTTAGGTCAGGATTGGTAAATACCCAAATATATTTCACACATTCACACATTTCTATTACTCATGAAATAAGATTAATTTGCAAAAATCTGCAGAATGTGCCGATTTTTTATGTTTATTGCTCAGTTAATCATAACAATCATCAATTACTAAAACAATTATCATTAGCTGCTGCCTTATTGTTAATATCGCACAAAAATTTTACATTTTCTTTGTTGATAAAGACTAAAAGAATAGGGTCTATGTAGTGCTCTGTTTCCCAAATAATGTGCAAAGTTCTTGCTTTACCTGAACTGAGTCTTCCTGAATCAATCAGCGGTCCTGTTGTCACATGTGTAGAGCACATGCGAAGACAAAGTGGAAGGACGGCTCGGGTTTTGAGAAGCATCGTCACTAAAAGATCAGAAGAAAAATGACATAAGATTTCCATTCAAACATTTCCCTTTATTATTCACATTCAGTTCAAGACGTCTCTAAGGGTTGCATAATTTCCTTTTAGGTTTAAATACCATTTCTTAAAGAACAACAAATAATCTTGTTTTGCTCCTCTTATTGAAATTTTAAATACATATTTACAAATCAAACATATTATATAGTAAGTCCGAATCTATATGCTGAGAAGCAAAGCAAAAAAAAAAAGAAAAAAGGAAACGGAAAAGCTAAGCACACTATCTAAAATAATTTTTTCTATCAATAAATACAGTTTTCTAACATTATCAACTTTATTTTATTTTATATTATTTTGTTACATTATTATTTTTTTTAATCCATCATGATTTCACTGAAGTTATTGATTGTAATTACTTTAATTAACCTCTCGACTAAATAATGAATGACTTTGCTGCTCATGAGGAACTCTGTGAAATACTTTAAAGATCAAATTTCAAGCCAATAGTGTTATTAGAATCCAGGACAAGACCTTATTACCTTTGTAACATTAAAAAAATATGGATATTTTCATGGTAAAAATTTATATCAACGAAACAGCAAGAAACGACAACTTGCCCAAATATGTTTAAACATTTTTTTTTAAAGTGCTCCAATAAGAAATTCATGAAAAACACTGAGAGTGAAAAAGACACATTTTTTTGGTCCAACATAACCTTAGAAGTATTAATGCTGATACTGGCACTTACCATTTTTTTGTATATAAACCTAAATTTTATAAAAATTGTTAACTGGGCTGATTAACTTTACTTTTTAACTTTTCAAATTGCTTTTTACCTCTTGACTTGTTAACTTTTTCAATTCCCAGTATATAATATAGCATTGAAGGGCTCATCCAATTGGTCAAATGCTAAAATAAGATGTACAGCCATGTAGCAGGATCTTTGCAGGATATAGATCTAGTGCTTCTAGATCTCACTGAGGGACAGGGGGACTCTATTTGTAAGGTGTATGCAAGCGATCAAAAACGCTAACTTGCCCTAAAAACGGTTAAAGTTAAAGATATTGTAGAAAAAAGGGGGTAATGCAGTTCAGATTAAGCTGTATTTACATTGCAGTCATGAGTACAGAGACAGTCTGGATTTATTTACACCGATAAAGCAAGGAATGTGCAGACAAAGACACATGTTTGCTTATCTTAATACCTAACTGTAGAGAAAAGGGAGAAAATCAGTCGAAAGGACACACCTTTTAACCTGAACCAAGTCAAACAAGCTGAACAGGACGCCAAACCCTCCAAACAAAACAACCATTTCATTTCTTTCCGTCTCTGAATGCTTATAATTCGTTACACGGCGTACTTTTTTTTTTAAGTTGAATGTTTTTTTTAAACAAATAATCTCAAATAAAACATGCCAGTAAGTTTTAAAGTAGCAGTCGTCGTGTCTAAGAGAACAGCAAAGGTTTCCCCAAACCGTGAATTACGTGACTGCCTCACAGAGCAGTCGTTAGTGCAAAGAAAATCGTGTAACCTTAGCTTGCATCGATAGAAAAGAAGATGAGAAGAGCTTAATTACAACGAACTTACACGTGAAGTCTTATGGAACTGAACTCGAAAGACAAAGTTCCCTTTTTTTGTCAGATCAGTAAGACACGCTGGGATTGTTTACTTATGTCCCTGCAATCATCAGAAGGAGCCGCAAAGCAAGGATGGTGTCGTAAAGCCAGCTTTAGCAATATGCCTCACGCTAGTGCGCCCCCTGGCGGCAGTCAAGTCAAGTCAGCTTTTATTGTCATTTTCTACATATGTAAAAGACATACAAGGGAAATGAAATTACGTTTACTCTCTGCAATATACAAATATACAAGAAATATACAAGGCTGACATTTAAAAACTGACATAAAGTGCGGGACATGACAGGTAACAGTGGTAAGATAAATATAAATATGAAGTATAAGAAAAAAATAGATATCAGTAACCGTTGTTCTTTTTTGATTAACTCTCCAACGCAGAGGGACTATTGCTTTCCTTAAGCTTAATTTAAACCTTATTTATTTATCTCTTCCCTAAAATTCAACCTAACTGCTTTTTTAATTTATTATATTTATTTATTTTTTTTTTTTTGATAAACCTTAAGGACAAAGTTAACTTAAAATGAACTTTGGTGGTGAATACAGTAAATATGAAGGAATATATAATGTTTAGAAAAAGAAGAAAATATTCCCTGTACACCTAATCATAAATACATTAAACTGCTAGATTCTAAATATAGATTTAACGTGGTGTTATCTACAAACAATTAGAGAATGAACGTTTTTTACAGTCTTATTTTTAATAAGTTCTCAACAAATGTATTTATTTGTACTGTGTGCATTAATATGATTATTATAATCCTATCATCGATATGATATTATTATTTACGGAAGAGGTGTAGGGCCTCTGAAAAATTTTTAAAATGTTAACTGATTTTAAATTTTTATTTTAGTATAATATGAGAAAAAAGTCAGAATCTGAGTTTAATCTCAGAATTCTGACTCTGTTCTCAAAATTCAGACTTTTTTCTCAGAATTCTGACTTTGATCTCAGAATTCTGACTTTTCTCAAAATTCTGACTTTAGTCTCAGAATTCTGACTTTTTTCTCAGAATTCTGACTTAAATCTCGGAATTTTGACTTTTTCTTAGAATTGTGACTTTAATCTCAGATTTCTGACTTTTTTCTCAGAATTCTGACTTAAATCTCAGAATTTTGACTTTTTCTTAGAATTGTGACTTTAATCTCAGATTTCTGACTTTTTTCTCAGAATTCTGACTTTAATCTCAGATTTTTGACTTTTTCTTAGAATTGTGACTTTAATCTCAGATTTCTGACTTTTTTCTCAGAATTCTGACTTAAATCTCAGAATTCTGACTTTAATCTCAGAATTCTAACTTTTTTCTCAGAATTCTTACTTTAATCTCAGATTTCTGACTTTTATCTCAGAATTCTAAATTAATTCTGACAGCTAACAAACATGTTAGCATCAAGCTATAGCCATGTCTGTTTTAGAGACTAAACTATCTTTTATTTTAAATCCCTTTCTGTTCTTCCAGTAATGAAATAGCATCACCGAGGACCCCTCGGGGACGTAAAAAGTCGCCTAATTGCGTCATTTTCCACCAATGTGTTATTGGCCCTTTCACTGCATGAAAAGTGAGATTTTCGTCCCTGTAAACCCCCGTAAACTCCCGCAGATCTGCCTGATTTTCGTCAGTTTCCGACAATTTGCAACCCGTGCTTGTCCGCGTTTGTCGTGCCACAAATTGTCGGAAACGGACTCTGACGTATGTGGAGAGCGATCAGCTGTACTAATGGCCCTAATTAGCATATGAATGCAGCAAACCCGCGCGGCTGGCCAGGTCTGGCTTGAATAACCTACTCAGTATTGGCTGAAACCACTATTCTCAAACAAATGAAATCGCTCGTGATTGGCAGCAAAACCACACGTGGCCACGCCAGGCTTTAATTTTCTTACTGAGTATTGGACGGAACCACTTCTTTTTAAACAAGTAAAGTCGCTCGTGATTGGTTGGCATATATATATTTACATATATATATTTATTCATATATATATATATTTATTCATTCATATATATATATATTCATATATTTATTCATTCATATATTTATTCATTCATATATTTATTCATTCATATGCTGTGTATTTATGTTATCCTACACTACTACACAATTATTATGCTACCATCAAGGACATTAATTAATTTATACAGGAAATGAAGATTTGCCAGGAAGCTGTTTATGCAAAGAAAGAGCTTTATTAAAACACACACACAACTATATACAACGCATATCCAAACACATGTATCTAAAAATTACAACTCCGTGAACGGTCCGTTTGCTTCCTCGGGTTGGAGGTAACAGGCAGCATTCCCTCCGAGGCAGGTCCGATGTGCAGACGCATACTGTGCGTGGCCTTGTACTTCGGCATCGCTTCTAACCGGGACTGCAGCTTAACACAGAGTTCAGTGAGATCCGGCCTACGAAATGGCGGCGACCGTACAATCCATCCAGAGACACCGCCGACGACGCCATCTTCTTCGTCGGACATGAGGTCGACGGTGGCGGACTTACAGAGTTCCACTTCCTCATCTGATAGCACACTCTGCCTCGCCTTCAGCAGCTGAAAAAAAAACAATGAATCAGCGCACTGCATATGGACACAACACATCTATCAATGCACCTGAAAAATAGTCACCAAATAAAGTCTTACCCTCTTTCTTCTGGCCCGACTCCGAGCAGATAGCCTCAGCACGCAGCGTGCTGGCTAGCAGCGTGTATCTGAAGCTCCTGCATACCGTCTCATAATATGTCTTACAGGCAGCTGGAAAACAATTAAATGAGAGTGGTATGAATAAAAAAAAAAAATCAAACGCAAGTCACAGTAACAAGGAAGGAGAAAACATTAAAACAACTCACTTACACACAATGTCGTCTTTATCAACATCGTGCAAATCCGAGCAAATAGGAGGTCACCGCCTCATTGTGAGGCGACTGTAGTCTGTGAAAAAAAAAAAAAAAAGTACAGCTATGGTCGGTATCCATCCGTATCCATGTCCTTTTACCGCTGAATGAAAGCATATTCTTTAAACCTTACCCCTGCTCCGGTTCATAGCGCCTGCAATTAGTCTCCGAGTTGTTAAGACGGCATAATGCTTCCTGTGAATCACAAAAAATACACTTTAATAAAGCTTTAGGCTAGGCTGCTTTTAGCTTACATAGCTAGGCTAGGTTGTCTTTAGCTTGCCTAGCTAAGCTAGGCTGCTTTTAGCATAGCTACCAGTAATCGAACATATATTTACCGCTAGCGTGGCGTTGTGCACCCGTCTTCTCTTCCTCGAGTTCGTATATCCCGCAAAGTTGCTCGACTGCAGATAGGGTGGCCAGATGTCCGGCTTTAGGGCGGACAGTCCGGATTTTCATTGCACTGTCCGGCGTCCGGCGCTGCACCCAGCCGGACGTGTATTTGTCCTCCTTTACCCCCAGATTCCACATACTCCGTCAGCGCTCCGCCCCGCTCACGTACGGAGTACTTGTCTGTCATGTAAATCAATGAGAGCTGTTCCACATCCTCCGCTCGTCACCGCCCACGTACGTCTTCTCCGTCCTTCACCGTCAAAATACGGAGCTGAGCTATTTTTTGCTCCCCTCCGGTCCGTCCAGATCAAGACCCGCTATTGCAATCGCACCAAACAGAAAAAAGAATGTAGAGAAGACCCGGTTTGTCAAATTAAATTATAGTAAAAACAGATCGGTATCTAGAAATTAGAGCATAGTTTGTATATATTCCCAAAAACTAAGAGCAATTAATTAAATAATTGGATGCAGACTATTGGTGCTTCAACAGACCAGGAAGAAGTTGTGAGATTCTAGAGTGAATCTCACAACTTTAAAAGAAAATTCTTATTGCAGGAATGGATGAAGAGATGATGAGTTTGGAAGCAGAGAATAAACAGAGTTCATACAAACTATGTATGATCCTAGTTATCCCTGTTACAAAAATCGGCAACAGAAAGAAAATATTTGGGCAGAAACTGAACATCTGCTGGATGATGATGGGGATTTTTTTAATATGTCAGATTCAATTAAGCGTTCACAGGTTTTATACAGGAATGAGGAACTCTAATTTAATGCTCTTTTAATGCTATTAGAAATAATTTTAATGCCATCAACAAGTATCATGTACACAAGTTATTAGTTTACATGAAATAAGGAGCTGTAAGCACAGTTCCATGACTCAAGTTTATATATATATATATATATATATATATATATATATATATATAGATAGATAGATAGATAGATAGATAGATAGATAGATATGGATAGATAGATATATAGATAGATATGGATAGATAGAGAACATGGTGAAATCATCTTTACTCTCGACAGGCTGCAGCCATGTCATGAATTCCTCTTTTCCAGCCACTTTTTGCAGTTTGCATCGTCCTATTCTCTAGCTCTTTCTCGAGCTTCTTTTCCAAACAACTGCTTTATGATCAATTGCAGCAGTTCTGCGCAAATTAATTGTGTTAAAAAAATGGTCACTTTTTAAACACCACAATGTATTAAATAAATACAAATGCTGGGAACCAATTCTTTTTTACATTTCTTTAATATTTTGTTCTATTCAGCTACACAAGCATCCTCTTTAAACTACTAAGAATTGTGCTATAAATGTGACTTTACCCGATTCTTATGTACACCTTAGTAATTTATTGATATGCCGCACAATGTCCTCCTTTTTGGTGCTATAGAAATGGCCACCCTAACTGCAGAGCCGCCATCTTGTCCTCTATGGACTACAACCTGGAGTGCATCGAATTCTCCAGCTGAGTGAGGCGCTCATTCATGTCGGCAGTATGTTGGGCAAGCTGACGAGACAGTCCGCTGATAGCAATCAGCAGTTTCTTCTCGTCAGTCTGCGGGCTGGCCGAAAGTTGTGGACTAAGAGCAGTTGGAGGCGAGTTGAACGCGAGACGTCGTGCAGCCATTGTTCACGTAACAACAAAATACAAACACGGTAACTGGAGATGAAGCTCTTCTGAGTATAGTAACACAAACATGTCTGCTAATATGCAGGTCTCGCGAGAAGTCGTAGTGCACAAAAGCTCACACGTGATTGGACGATGGGGCCGAAGGCTCATCAGGCTCCTCCAATCACATACGACGTCATTG